TTGGGAATAGGTGAGAATTACAATTCTGGACATGCAAGCTACAGCAAAACTGTAGGCAAGTCTAACAAAGGAGACGAACGTTATTTTATGGAGAGGAAGGAGGAAGTTAGGAGGGGCTGTTCTGAAGGAAAGTCCATTGGAGAAGAGTTCAGGGTGATTAGTTTCTCACTGGCTGAGTTGCAGGGCCCATTCATTTCTTGTAGAAGATGCAATGTACATCTTTTCCTGTTGGGGCCTGTAATTGAGGATTTCTTTCCTGTTGAAGATTCTTCTGTTGGTAATTCTTGACTTCCAGTGGTACCAAGTGAGAGCTCCCCCTTTCACTCCATTTTAGTGAGGTTCTCCTTTACTAAGTTTCACAGCACTGTGTACCTGGCCCTGTGCTAAACACTTTTCATGAGGAAAGTTGTAGTATTTATCAAATTTCATTACTGGATTTTGAGTTAGAGCTTATTCTGGGAGAGCATCAGAATCCCCAAGAGGGACAAGGCACAGAACGTTCAGGCTCATCCCAGAGTTTCTGATGGGGGAAAATGCAGACGTGAAGCTGCTCCCCAGGGGCCCCCTCAGGGCTGGTCCCTCTACTCCAGAATGCGGGTCACCCGCATCTCTGAGGGAGGAGATCTGGAGTAGCCCCTAAGAGGAAGCTAAAACACACCACTGCCATTCTTAATCTCGGGCTGCATTTCCCAGTACCCCTTGCGGTGCCACTTGGGCGTTGCCAAGGGGAACTTGCTGGCGCCCCCGGCCCGGCCTATGCGGGGCAGAAACTACATCGACCAGAAGGCTACGGGGAATGGCGGCGACCTATGAGCCAATCACAGCACAGAAGAGCTATTTCCTCCGGCTCCCGGGCTTCCGGCGTTTCCCTTGTGGACGTTCATTTTGCTCTTGACAGGTCGTTAAATAGCGCCCTTGGGGACCTGAGCTCTGGGTCGGGGCCGCTTTCCAGGCGCCTCCTTGGGACCCAGCCGGGGAGGACACTAAAGAGGATGAGATCAACTGCCGCGCTTCGTACCAGCCGATCTCCTGTAAGGGGGTTGTCCTCTTCCTCAGCACTCGCCCTCCGTCCCCTTTGACTGAGGCGCCGATTGCGACCGGCGGCGGGCGGGCACCTGGCCCAGTGGAGGTGTAGGGATCGGCTGAGCACTCAGGGCCTGCCCGGGTCCGATGGCGGCGGCGGCGGCGGGGATGGTGGACCCGGCGCGGGTGAGTGGAGGGCGCCCGCCGCCCTCACTCACGGGATCCCCATGCACATGGTCCGGGGTCCACGACAGAGGGAAGTGGGGAGTCCCTGCACTCTTTTCCTCCACCTTCACTTCTCTTCCTTTGCTGCTGGGACCCTAGCATCACCCAAGCCTGAGGTCCTGAGTCCTAGCCAGAGGTTATGTGGGAAGTTTCACAATTCTGGAATCCAGTGGGACAAGACGTGGAAAGCTGTTGCAGGCATAGGGACCGGGATGTGCAAATGCTTAGAGAGGAGGCTGAGCTGGGGGTGTTCAGGGAACTACAGGTCTCCGTTATGTCTGGTGGGCAGGAATCAGGCCTGGAATGGCATCCTGGGGAGCTTGGCCTGAGGGTGGTGGGAGCCATGGAAGGTTTGGAGTAGAGGAGAAAGGTGATCTGACTCAGGTGTTCACAGGCTCCCTTTGGCTGCAGAGTGGAAAAGAGAGGTAGGGTGGGGTAGGGGGTGAGGCTGAGGGGGCAGAAAGGGAGGCCGGTAAGGATGCTCTTTTACTTGATCAGGTGGGTGATGGTGTCTTGGCCTGAGTGGTGACTTCAGTTGGGAGAAGTGGTTGGATTCTGGATCTGTCTTTTAAGCCAGCCAGATTTTATGATGTGCAGAGAAGTGGAAGAGGCAGGGATATCTCCATGGATTTTGGCCTCAGTTAGTAGAAGGTGGAATTGAAGTGCATCGACTGAGATGGGGAGGTTGCTGGGTCGAACAGGTTTCAGAGAAGATCGCGAGGCTGATTTTGACCCTGTCGAGGCTGAGATGTCCTAAAGACTTAGAGTTGGAGGTACTGAATGGGCAGCTGGACATGCAGGTCTAAGTTATGCTGAGGAATTCCGCTTGGAGACATCCAGTCAGCAGTAGTCAGCGTGTGAGCTGAGGTGGAGCTCTGGCTCAGATTGGAGAGGAGACATCTTCAGCTTATGGTGAAGGATGTCCTACAGGGGCAGCTGAGGACTGGGTGGCTGGCCTGGGTATTGGGCAGGGTTGGTGGGTGTCACAAGGTCAGATGAAGGGAGGAGGAGCCGTGAGAGAAGGTGTGTGTGAGAGGAGGGTCCAGAGAGTGACCAAGATCCCTGGGACAGAGGCTGAGGCATACTGGAGATGCAAGTAGCATGACAGCGGAATTGAGGCTCCTGTTTAGTCATCTCTCTATGGGCTCACCAGCATTTCTTGGCCACCCTCTGTGGGGCCTGAGGGTTTCAGTCAGGATGGCAGATTAGCTCAGTGGCAGTCAGCTGGGAGTGTTCCAGGCCTGAAGTGGGAGGTGGTGGGGCTGGGCTTTGTGCATCAGGAGGAAAGAGGAATGCTGAGGCTGGTGAGGGGACAGCATGAATAAAGGCAGAGAGACCTGGAGGTCCCAGAAGTCTTTGTGGCCCAGCCTGGATGGCTAAGGGTTAAAGGTAGGAATAGGATCAGTTAGAGAAACTGAAGGAAGGCTGGGTGCCACCTCTGGAAGTTGGGACTTTTGGAAGTCTGGGTCAGCATGGGATCCTGGTTGACCTCACCAAGTTAGCCACATTTTGGACACCCATCTGCAGAGTGGTATGTAGGGTTGCTGGGAGGAAGAATGGGCCATGGGATGGTGGTGGGGTCTGGAGATGTGTGGTACAAAGATGGACGTGCACATGCAGAGGGAGTATGAATTGATGGACTGGAGTCCTGGTCCTGGGGGCCTATGTGAGATGAGCCCCAATTTGGTTGTTCTGGGAGGCAGGGTCTGGGAAGCCAGGGGAATTGCCTGGTAGGAGGCAGTGAGGCCCCACAACCAGGCCCAGAACTTGTGGCAACTATCTGCCCACCTCCCTGCTGTGTGAAGGAGGACACAGTGATCAGTGGGACACAAGGAGACAATGGCACCCATGGCACTGGAGCTTAGGGAGAAGGGTGACCTAGGAGTGTGTTGGCAGGGGTGATCTGGGGGTTAGAGACTACCCACCAGAAAGGTGGCAGCATGTAGGTCACAGGCCTAGGTCTGGGTTCATCTTTGTATTTTTTTGTTAGTTTTTTTTGCTGCCCTGTGGTCTGGCTGACTTAGCTGTCCTCATCATGACAGGACTGGGGGACCTTTGAGGACGTGGCCGTATACTTCTCCCGGGAGGAGTGGGAGCTCCTTGATGAGACTCAGAGGCACCTGTATCACAATGTGATGCTGGAGAACTTGGCTCTTGTGGCCTCACTGGGTAAGGCCCTCCCCCCCCCACCCCCGCTTCCTGTTCTAGTCTCTGTCCTTCCTTTTCTCCCAGGAACAGCTCTGTCTTCCTACAGCTGAGCATGGGTGCTGCTTCCTCCTTTGGGCTATGTGCTGTGTGTGCAGAGCTGGGGCACAGGCAGAGCCTGCTCCTTTCCCTGAGGGGCTCCAATATCTGCTTCCCTTTCTGGGGAAGGGCTCAGGACTGGGGGTCTCAGTCTGGCTGCCTGAGTTTGTCTAGATCAGTGGCACCTCTGTGCCCAGGTTCTTCCCCCCTTTTTTACATCAGACATTTCCAGGAGCCTGGCTATGTCATGGACTACAGACACTGACGTGGTTATTACTCGTGGCGACCACTGGGCTCTTCCTGTGAGATGCTCCTCAGAGGCTTACTTTGTAACATTGAGTTTTCTTCCCAGTTGCAAAGATGACGTGAGCTCCCTCTGGTCTGCCACAGGGTAGGTTGCCCTTGGCTGGCCCAGCCACTCACCCACCCTGTCTTTTTCCCAGGACTTAAAACTTTCAGGTCTTGTGTGGTTGCTCACCCGGAAAAGGACAAAGAAGCCTAACAGGGTGGACATAACTCCATATACTGCAGGAGAGGCTGGGAGGGCGTCTGGCTCTAATGAGTGGGAGCTGGAGCAGAGCTGACATGGGGGCTGGGTTCACACTGTCCTGGGCACCTGCCCTGTATCCACTAGTGTTTGTTGCTGGGGCCAGTAGCCGAACTTTACTCCATTTTCCTTCCTCATTCTAGACACCACATTCTTGCCATTTCTACTTTGTCCCTGGACACTGCTCTTATCTCTGCATCTTCCTCATTCCCCTCCACTCCTCCCTTTACAGGGATGTCCCACATTAGCCCACAGTCAATGTATTATGAGATGTGCACATATCCTCATATAGGCTTTAAGCACCAGATGCCTGGTTGCAGCTGGATTTCCCTGGGCTCGTGCACACCACTCTGTCCCCTGTTCCTATCAGAGATCTGGGGCCTGCCTGTACTGGGTCCTGCTGAAAGCTGAGGAATTGCAGTTCCTGCCTCTCCTCCCAGCCGGAACCTTACACCTGTGTTCTCATGTGCTGAATCTTCACTTTCGGTGGTTTTCCTGGGCCCAGTACTGCACCACAAGCTCTACCTCACCCTGACTTGATCCTACAGACTCATTCCTAAATTTGTCAAATCCACATCTGTGAAGGGGCTGCCCACTCCCAACAAAGCCTATATACACTTCACCAGTATTTCTCTGCTTTCAGGTTGTTGGTGTGGAGTAGAGGAAGCCCCTCTTGAACAGAGTGTTTCTGTAGAAGGAGCACTCCATTTCAGGACCCCTAAAGCATGTCCTTCCACCCAGAAGGCCAACACCTGTGACATGTGTGGCCTGGTCTTGAAAGACATATTACACCTGGCTATGCATCAGGGAATATACCCTAGGCAGAAACCGTACAAGTGTGCGACATGCGGGAGAGGCTTCTGGCTCAGTACAAACTCTCACCAGCGCCAGAAGGAGCACAGTGGAGAAAAACGCTTCACAAGTAGCGAACGTGCTAAGGATGTCCTGGACAGCCATGACCTCCTGCAGCATCTGGCCACCCACAGCACGTGGAAGCCACACAGGAGCACCACGCACAAGGAGGCCTTCCACCCCAACTCTAGCTTCCAGCAGCAGCAGAGAGTCCACGCCACGCAGAACCCCTTCAAGTGCAGCAACTGTGGGAAAGGCTTTCTAAAGGCCTTCATGCTCCTAGACCACCTGCTCACTCACTCCAAAGAGAGACCCTGCAGATGCCCAACAGGGGGAAATGCCCCTAAAGAGAACTCCACCGTTGTTCATCCCCAAAAAGATCACACTGGAGAAACATCCCATGTGTGTACGGAATGTGGGAAGGCCTTCAGCCACCTTTTTAAACTGAGTACACATCAGAAAGCTCATACTGGAAAACCACATCACAGTTGCAGTGAATGCGGGAAAGCCTTCACCCGAAAACACTCCCTTGTTCAGCACCAGCGAGTTCACACTGGAGAACGGCCTTATGAGTGTGGCCAGTGTGGGAAGGCCTTCACTCGCAGCTTCCATGTTGTTCGGCATCAGAAAGTTCACAACACAGAAAGGCCTTATGAGTGCAGACAGTGCCGGAGAGTCTTCAGCTGTATCGCCAATTTTGTTGAGCACCAGAAAATACACACTGGGGAAAGGCCGTATGCGTGCAATGAATGTGGGAAAGCCTTCATTAACAGCTCTCATCTTGTTCGGCATCAGAAAGTTCACAACACAGAGAGGCCTTTTGAGTGCAGCGAATGTGGAAAAGCCTTCCGGCAAACCTCCAAACTTATTCTGCATCAAAGGAGTCATACGGGAGAAAGGCCTTATAAATGCAACCAGTGTGGGAAAGCCTTCAGTTGCCCCTCCAACCTTGTTCCACACCAGCGAATTCATACTGGAGAAAAGCCTTATGAGTGCTCGGAATGTGGAAAAGCCTTTAGTCAAAGCTCTGCCCTCATTCAGCACCAGAAGGTTCACACCAGAGAAAGGCCTTATGAGTGCAGTAAATGTGGAAAAGCCTTCAGCTATAGCTCGAACCTTGTTAAACACCAGAAAGTTCACACTGGAGAAAGGCCTTATGGGTGCAGCCAGTGTGGGAAAGCTTTCAGTGAGAGCTCCATCCTCAGTCAGCACCAGAGAGTTCACACTGGAGAAAAGCCTTATGAGTGTAACAAGTGTGGGAAAACTTTCCGCTACAGCTCAAACCTCTCTAAGCACCAGAAAGTTCACACTGGAGAAGAGCCACCTGAGTGCAGTGGACATAGGAATGCCTTCAGCCAGAGTTCCAACCTCACTCGGCGCCATGAAGGTCATACCAAAGAGAGGCCTTAGGAGTGTGGCAAATGTGGAAAACCACTAACTAACCGGGGCATTTTCTTGTTCACCTTAATAGAGTTCACTCCTGAGAAAACTTCTGTGAAAGGAACCTTTGTGAAGAAGCCATAAGCCAAAAATTGAAAAATACCCTAACACCCCTACCAGGAGATTGCCAGATACATGGGAAGCTTTCAGAAGCTACATCACACTTTCTAATCTGTCCAGGTGCTTTGCCAGATTATGTCACTGCCAGATGCCATCTCACTTCTACCAGCTGGCAGGTCCCCCCACAGCCTGTCATCTCAGCATACTCAGGGAAGGCTGATTTTGTGCTCTCTCATTCCCTGGAGGGAGACATGAGTGATGGGAGCTCTTTGGGGTGGCCTCATTTTCCATTTCTGCCCTGTCCCCAGTGGTTCAGGCATAGCCCTGACCTCTTTCTCTCCAGGGGGATCTGAATGGAGTCTGAGGACTTGCAGAAGTAGTTCCCTCTTTTGTGGGTATTGGGTTTTTTTTGGTTTTTTTAAGGTTTTATTTATTTATTTGACAGAACAAGCACAAGTAGGGGGAGCAGCAGGCTCCCCTCTAAGCGGGGAGTGCAATGCGGGGCTCGATCCCATGACCCTGGGATCATGACCTGAGCTGAAGGCAGACGTCTCCAAATCACCCAACCCTGGAACTGCCTGTCCCCAGAGTGTGTGATAAAAAAGGATGGCCTTCCCGTTGAAGCCATCTTTAATCTCCATTGTGTGCAGGGGGAGATGGAGAACAGAATTGGCTCTAACAGGATAAAGAGGGAGAAAGGCCTTAGTGGGAGACCTCAACTTCAACAGCAAGATGGCACACAACAGCTTGCAGTCTAGGCCCAAGGCCTTCTGGGACAGGCTGAAAGTCTCTGGGTTAAATCTTGTGTCCTGGATGCCAGAACGATCTGATAGGCCCAGAGCTTTGGGCATTGGGTATTGCAATCTCTAGTCCTTCCTGGGCAGCAGGGGTTGGGTTCTTTGTTCCTGGGAATGTCCCACATTCTCCAGTAGAGCTGAAGGGCCACTGTCTCCTGGGACCTATCCATGAGTAAGGCCCCTGATGTCCAGGTTATCGCTGGATGTAAGATCTTCAGGGGCCAGGCAGAATCATAAGTGGGTACAGAAACACTGGTTTTGAAGTGAGGGAGTCAGTGAGACTGGCAAACAGAGGAGATGCTATGCTTCAGCCACATCATACCCACTCACAAGAATTGTGTTCAACTCCACATTCAGTAACAATCACATCAATGGCTTTCAATCAGCCATGGTAGAATTTATACCACAAAAAAATGAACAAACAATAGTTCTTTGAAAACAAACAAAAAACAACTGGAAAAAAAAAAAACAACCCTGATATGGAGTGTTTGCCAAGCTTGTTGACACTGACTTTGGCCATAGGAGAAACTCAGCTCTGCAGATCTTAGGAAGTCCTGCATACTCTCATCTTGTCCTCTAGCACGAGTACACTGACCCTTTACGATGAGTATGCTGCTCACTGCTGGAGCAAAAAACCTAACCTAATGGTGATGTGGATTCCTGTAGTCTCCCTGCACTGGTCACTTCAAGGCCATCAATGCACAGGCAGGAACCCTGGGACTATAGTCCAGGACTTTTGTGGCTCAGCCAGTATTCTAGGTCAGTGTGGTGTCCATGGTCTTCATCATCTGTTTTTTGCTGCCACTGAGACAAGGCTGTCCCTGGGTACAGGGATCAGAGAGGATGGAATCAGCATTTGATTTGCCCCCATTTTCTGGTTTTCCAAGAGTGAGAGATCCATATGCTTATGTGAAGCCTTTTGATTTTATAAATGTTGAAAACTTCTATACAAAATTTATAGGTATATAAGCAACCTATATATATGCGCTACACATGTGTTCCTGGTCCAACACTTGAAACAGTCAGAAAATAAGCAAATCAGCTGTCAGGAGCCCAGGGGTCCCCAGATATGAAGGCTTTTGGCACGGTGTTTACCCCACAGCATGTGGCAGAGGAGGGGGCACTGCTGTTGCTACTCCACTCAGGACCCCCCAGTTTCCCGAGGCTGACCATGTGAGGGATGGCAGGATCCCAGGCAGGCTTGTGGTCAGCCAAGCATGTGGCAGGTCTGCCTAAGTGCTCCCTGCATCCCAAGGTATCATGGCACCCCGTGGACCTTCTGGGTAGAATAATTGCCTTCCATTAACATGGGGGGCTTGGAGTTAGAACCAAAGTCCATTTGAACCTTGGGGTATCAGGCTTCCAAGAAAAGGGATCATGGATCATCAAGAGCTCAACTCCTTGTACCCATGTGGCCAGCTATGGTTAGACAGACCTCAAAACACTGCTCCCAGTGCATGAATGAAGTCTTCTGTCTCCTACTCTCCTCACCAGGGATCTGCACACACCAACCAAATTATTGGAACCTCAGTATTTCCCTGGTGGTACCAGAACATAGCAAACAAAGGTCTGTTGGTTCTGAGTGTTTCATCTCTCCACAGTACCAACTTATGTGAAGCTCAAGTCCTCCCAGCTTGATGAAGTATACAGGGGTCCTCGGCCTGCTCAGGCTCTCCCTCCTGAGTGTAACAACTGCCTTGCACCAACATGGAAGGGCTGCTTGGGATTAGAGTTCAAGTCCAGCTGAGCCATGTGGAGCTCAGGCCTGCAAGCAAAGTAGGGCAGACACTCATCATGAGAACTCAATCCCTTTTATCCTGAATGGTCACCTGTGTGTAGACCTTGTAAAATGAATTCTTTTGGCAGAGTCCTTGATTTGGTGAAATGGCCCTGACTTGAACCTGACTTCTGCTTTCCCCATCAGGGCTCTGTGCAAGGCAGCTGGCTTGCTGTGTGTATGTACGTGTGTCTGTGTAGCTGGGCGTGGGCGTGTGCATGTGCATGTGCTGGAGCATCTAAAACAAAGCCCTTGTGGCTCAGCGTCTATAAACTGGGGCTACTAATGTTCATCTTGACTCTACAGGAGGATTGTCCTGTGAACCAGCCACAGAAGAAGGCAGTGTAGAGTGATGGTGAGAAGCAGCCCTTCTGATCATTTGAGCCCTAGATCCACTTAGTCCCTGAAGCCAGATGCCAAGTGTACTTTTGGGTTCCATGTACCAAAATAGGCCAAGGCAATTCAATAGGGGAAAAGATAATCTTTTCAACCAATAGTGCTGGAACAACTGGATAGCCACATGTAACAAACCTCTATGTTACCTCAAGTCATATGCAAAAGCTAACTCAAAATTCATCACAGACATAAAACTTAATAAAACTTCCAGAAGAAAGCACAGTGACCCTGGATTTGGTGGATTTCTTAAATATAACAAAAAGCATGACAAGAAAAAGATGAATCAATTGGATTTGATCAAAATTTTTAATTTTTGCTTTTCAATAGTCACATCAACAAAATGAAAATGCAAGCCACAGACTGGGAAAACTGTCTGCAAAAAAATTCTGACAAAGGACCTGAATCTAGAATATATGAAAAATTCATACACCTAATAAGACAACCCAATTTTTAAAAATGGGCAAAAGTGACTTGAACACTCACTTCACTAAAGAAGATATATGAATGGCAAATAAGCACATGCCTTCTATGTAAAAGGTGTTACTATTTTTTTTAAGATTTTATTTTTAAGTAATCTCCACACCCAACCTGGGGCTCGAACTTAAAACCTTGAGATCAAGAGTCACATACTCTGGGGCTCCTGGGTGGCTCAGTCATTAAGCGGCTGCCTTCGGCTCGGGTCATGATCCCGGGGTCCTGGGATCGAGCCCCGCATCGGGCTCCCTCCTCGGCGGGAGGCCTGCTTCTCCCTCTCTCTCTGCCACTCCCCCTGCTTGTGTTCCTGCTCTCGCTCTCTCTCTATGAAATAAATAAAATCTTTTTTAAAAAAAAAAAGAGTCACATACTCTACAGATAGAGCCAGCCAGGTGCCCCTAAAATGTGTTCTTTTATTTAAAGTTCACAACACTCCCACAGGTGTTCTATAGATAGTGAGGTGGTTAAGAGTACAGACCGTGGAGCTACATACTGTACATTTATGTACCAGCTGATAATTAGTTGTATGCTCTTGGACAAGTTACAAAGTCTCTGTGATTCAGTTTTCCCTATATTTAATTGATAGTTTGTATGGCTGTGGCAGATATGAAGGTTTGCAGGTCCTGAGAAACTCTGTACAACATCACCCCACACGGACACGGTCATCAAAGCAGAGTCATGGCTGCCCCATAGACAAAGCACAGGCACTCCAGGTTGCCAGTCTCCAATCCCTATTTCCTCATACCCAGTGATTATCACTTAATATACCCACCTAGTTCTTATATGAACGCAGGAGGTAACCCTGCCTAACAGGGTCTGGTGTCTAGAGGGCATGTCTTTTTAGCCCAGGAGAAGAGCTTCCTACCATTGTTGCAGGGGGTATGCTATGAAATATGAAACATCCTCTAGAACTAGAGATCAGCAGCTTCTTCTGCATCACTATAAGGTTTTTAGAACCACTTCTCCCTTCCCTAGGTGAGCTTTTGGTATCTGAGTTAAAAGATTTAGAGCAGAGAATCTTTCAGCCTTTCCCAGGAGGGCATAGGATAGAAATGCAAATTAGGATATACACTGGAAAGGAAGAAGTTAAAGTGTCTTTTTTTTTTTTTAAAGATTTTATTTATTTGTCAGAAAGAGAGACAGTGAGAGCACAAGCAGGGGGAGCGGCAGGCAGAGGGAGAAGCAGGCTCCCCACTGAGCAAGGAGCCTGATGCGGGACTCAATTCCAGAACCTTGGGATCATGACCTCAGCCCAAGGCAGATGCTTAACCGACTGAGCCACCCAGGTGTCCCTGAAGTTAAAGTGTCTTTATTTACAGATGACATGATCTCTGTGTAGAAAATCCCAGGTCCATTAAAAGTAGTGCTTAGTTGGTTAAGTGTCTGACTCTTGATTTTGGCTCAGGTCATGATCTCAGGGTCGTGGGATCAAGCCCTGAGTCCAGGCTCCACGCTCAGCGTGGAATCTGCTTGAGATTCTCTTCCTCTCCCTCTATGCCCCTGCTCCCTCTCCCCCTCTAGCTCTATCTCCCTCTCTAAAAAATA